TCTTGTCAACCGTTTTTTCTATCAGAGTTCCTAGATTCCTCCTCTCTCATTCAATCTCCTTTCTGTCTTTCTATCTTCTTCCTCACTCCTCCAGCATCAATCTTACATTATTCTAAAACAGAGACATTATATAATCAAAATCACCACCAAAACAAATTAGGATGTGCAACATGAAAACTTATTATTATTAATATCTCATCTAAATACTAAAAATGCTAATTACCACAATATTAGGAGCTACAAGCAAAAACCACATATTAAATAAACATTAAACAGGTGGTTATCTCTTCCTCCATCATTCTCAGATCATGTAGATCTTGTCTTATTCAGTTCTCCTGTTACTGACTCCTATTTTTTCACAAGGAACGTTCATATATATCCAAACTGAGCAGTAAAAAAGCACACCAAAAACTGGAAGTCTATGCTCATAAATCACAACCATAAATCATCAAAACAAATTGAAATAACTCTACTTATAATAACTATCTGAAATATAAACTAAAGGTCACCTATCCATTCTAAATCATCTTTATACAAACCCTTGTTGATCCCTGGAGAACCAGCGTACCAGATTAGCGCTTTACAAGGAGTTTTCAATCATTTTGCTACATTTTAACCCAGCGTCTTTTACTCATGCTCAACTCGTGGTCTTGTCTTACTTTTTATTATTTTTTTAACCTGGACACAAACCAAACATTCATCACAAGATCAGCCCGATCAGAATAAAATAAATTGATTAACACACTTACCATCACTCAGCGTAGCTCCCCATCAGTTGCCACAGGTTGTAAAAAACGAACTTCCACTTCTTCTTCTTCTTCTGTTTTAAAAGTGATGCGCTCTTCTTCTTCTTTGTGTTTTAATGGCAGCTGACATCCAAACGGATCATTACCTCCCTTCTAGTGGTGCGCTCTGTTCCTTACCTTTATGTTATCAGCAGCGCAACCAGCTACCGTAATACCTATTTTTGCGCGCAACAGCTCTACCGTAATAACAGTCTACACGCAACATTTTCCGCCTCGGTAAAATCGGGGACATTTCCGGGGACAGCTTTAGCCGGGGACAGGTGGTCCAAAACGGGGACAGTCCCCGGAAATCGGGGACGTCTGGTCACCCTAGCATAATCCCCCTTGTAGAAACCCAGCAGGTTGGAACCCTGCTTGAAACCCAGTCAGACTTTTAGACAAACACCCTTACTCTGCTGCACATGGTGGAATAATTTGCTCCTGCTCTGAATAATCGAGTTGTTTTCTCCCTAAACTGCCTGATTTCCCTCACCAGTATTGGTATGCTGACATGTTATCCGTTTTTCCTTCCATTTGTTCATATTAAATAACTTCATACTGCAGAAAATGAAGGATATTTACAAGAAGCAAAAAACCCATTTCAAGTGACTTGGAAACTTCTTGCAATTTGAGAATTTTTATTTTTAAGACTTCTATGTTTTGTTATGGAGCTTTATAAAGCCCTTTGCAGATGAGCCCTCTCTTGGGTATTCACTGATGGAGAACCACAGATTATTGAATAGGAAATATTGGACTTTGACTTGTACTTTCTTATTCTTGAATATGTTATAATCTTCAGCTTTAAAGTAAATCCTTTCCCACTGTCTTGTGTGTTGTTGCACAAACAAGTTTTCTTCCCAGTATTAAGCCAAATCCATTTTCTGATAATCTCTGACCAGTTTGACAGCATGATGCTACCACCTCTGTGTAACCATGATGAGAGTGTGGTTAGTAGCCATGTTTCTGTTCAACTGAAATGCGAATTTTAAGTGAAGTTTTATAAGTAAAAAAAAATTAAATGGGATTTTGCGGTGCTTTAATTTGGTTTGATTTGGTTTAAATAACAAAGCACTGCAACGATATTGTCATCATATGCCATTACGCTAGCCTGACGTAGTCCGACTCAATTCTAGTCAGAATATGAGTCTGATACTGCTCCATAGAGCTGTGATTATGGGGCGTGTTTCGAACGAACCAGGAAAAAAAATGCCTCTGCACTCAATTGGATAGACCTACAACCAATAAGAGCAACGGAGTGCGTGACGTATGTTAAGCGAGGCATAGTTGTTGTCCACAAAAATCAAAGCGTGCAGTTTCGCGTTTCTCTGTTCCTCTTTTAAAATTAATTTGCTGTCTATATCTTCTAGAACAGACCTAATAGCAGAATCTACTCACCCAAACTCTCCAGCGGCAGCCATTATTGTTGTCACCCTAGCGCGCTTTGGTCACGTGGTTGATTACGTTACTGTTGATCATCTGTCCATCATCGTATAAAGTCCGCCCTGACAATTTGATTGGATCGCCTGACAGTGGGCTTTAATACTCGCGCTACTATGGAGCAGAGCCAGACCGAACTTCCCCGAACTCAAACCTTGTGGGCGGGACTAAGTTCTGACTGGCACCCAGGCTACCATTACGCATAGCTGTAAAAAACAGGAAGTACATGCAACCATCTAGCACTGATCACGGATCAGTAATTTAGGACAGCTTTAATGAATGTGTTGTAATCAGGGAAGTTGTTCTTGTGTTCACATCATCTAGTGATAATGTAGCATTTACCATCTTGGCCAAAATATTTATTTCGTCTCCTCTGAGCATCTCTGTCTTCCATTTTTTTTTCTGTGTGTGTTTATATACAAAAGGTAATTGTTAGGGTATCATTTCAACATTTTTATTTTTTTTTTTGCCTTAGTATGCTTCAAGACCCTGAATAATATTTATATACAGTAAGCAACAAATAATGATACTTGTCCCAACAACAGATTTTCCCACTTGGGCTTTGGATCACTACAGCTCCTCTAGTGACACCTTGGGTTGTTTAAGAGTGAAGGGACAATTCCAAGTAATCCATAGTTGCATTTTCAGTAAACATCAATTTGCACAAATTTTAATTGGGAAAATAAATTTACTAAATGGATACGCTGTCATTTTGGAAAGAGAAAAATGGCTTTAGGTTGCGATGCAAAACTGCAATGGAAGCAAATTTTTTTTATTGCATGGGTCATGTGATCTGCAACTGGACATTACTGCTGCGTAAAAGAAAATGATGAAGAAGACAGGAAGTATTTGGAGGAGGATGGTGCCCACTAGCCGTGGTTGAAATATTGATAAATCTCATGTGCTAACATCTGCCACTGCCATGTCCTTTTCAAAGTTAGTCTGTGAGCAAATGTATTCACATACAATTTTATTTGTATTTATTTAATGGAAATTGCAAAACTTTGCATTTTCCAATTATGGAAACAAAGCTGATGTAGAAGACTGAACATATAAAAACCTAATTTCCATTTTCTCCATCTAATGTTGTGACTTTACTACTTATGTTTTCTGTATTAATGAGGTTTTCTTATCTGTATTAGATATCGAAAATTTATTCCCCTAACTAGTAAATCACTGCCATACACAACTCACACAACCATTTTTTTTTTTGTCAAAAAGAAGCAGTAGTAAAAAATTGTAGTTATAAATGAAAAATCAGGCAGAAGCGATAAGAGTTTGCAGGTAGTGTCGATCTCCCCAAAAAAACTACTGGATCAGCTTTTCTGATTGGCTGACGCTCCGACGTCATGCCGGAGTTTATATTTTTTGTTAAGTCGGGTTCTGTGTCTTAAGTAATGAAATATATAGCAAACAACATGGTGTTAGGGCTTGGTAATTTAGTACTTTTGCAATATAATAACTATTAAACAAAAACAATTTTAGCAACCGTAAGACACTGACCTTATCACTTCAGACCTTTAGGTGGTGGTGGTGATATGCTTAATAATTTGCAATTAGATGGTCTATTTGGTTTTTCCAGAGTGTTTGAAAGTGTTTCAGATTTTCTTCCTCTTTAGCAGCCTTTTTTAACACATTTCTAGATCTACATTGGATACCGTATGTTTGAGCTATTTAACTAGTTCTATTAATTTACAGATTATATGAACCTTTTTGGAACATTTAATGCTAATATTTGATAAAGTAATTCGACATGAACTTAAAGCTATGACTATGAGGTCCATATAAGCGCTGGTCATTTAATTTTAGTCTTTGCAAAAAAAAAAAAAAAAAAAAAAATAGAAAAACAAATTAAAATTAGTTATGTTTTTTGATTCCAAAAGAGAAAAAACGAAAATCAAACACAGTTTCAGAGATTCTTTCCCAATTCAACCCCTTGCCTCTGTGTTTTGTTTTGGTAGTGATCCAGAATCAGTCATTACTCTGGCAAAGAGAGACGCTACACCATTTATTTTGGTCAGATATGTTTTTTATTAGTTATTTTTGCTAATTTGACGATTTTATTGTCATTCTATGAATACATTGTATTAAAATTGAAAGTTCTCATATATATATCTCTTATATTGAAAGATCTCATAGACTGCCTTCAGGCTCCCACACCCTGGCCAAGAGAGTTACTCTTTGCAAATTAGCTGTGTAGCTCAGCTGTTGTGTGGACATGCTTGGCATTTCTGCCATTTCGAGGTAGAGCAGGTTTCTTGCCCAAAGGTCGTTCATACAGTAATAACAATAACGAGTAGGAAGATTTATTGGGAGTGTCCACTGATTGCATTGTATTAATATGCTTTAGTATTGTATCACATCCATAGTGCTGAAAGGGGGGGGGGGGGCTGAATTAAGAAAGGATGTTTAGATTTGTATTTTAATTGTCCTCTTTGTTACGGAATTAAAAGATGAGTCTGTTGCTTGTTGCTCGAATTTAGAATGTTTTTTTGGTAGTTTTTTTTTTTAATAGCACACCGCCAGCAAGTACTTTGTCTCCATTGTTTAGAGTATTGGCCAATGATGCTTGCAAAGCTGTCTCAAAAACCGGTTATCCAGCAAGTAGAGTGCATTCTGTGTGTCCTAGGCTGAAAGGCATATGAGGAGATCCTGCAAGGACAGTTTCTGTTCAATTTACTTGGCATGATAGCATTTTCTGTAAATATAGTATAAATTCCAATGCTGTGTGTTACACCGCTAACTCCTTTATGATCACAAAAAAAGTTGTTTGTAACGCTTATTTAAGGCTAGGCGCCTGACTGCAGCCAGTTATAATAGGCACTCAGATAGGTTCGCCTATGGAGCCCGTGGGTGTGAACAAAATACCATTAGACCGAAGTATGTTTCAATTATTATATTCAAGTTTGAGTCTTTTTCAAATATATATATATAAAGGTATGCAATATTAATAATATTTATAACAACAGTGACTTCTTTTATGATATAACCAAAAATACGACAAGAAACAAAAACAAACAAACTCATCAACAAAACAATAAATCCTTATGTCACCCAAGAGTTTCCTTTTTAGTCCATTCATGAATCTAGAGTGATTCAACGGTTCATCAATCAATGTCTGATTGTTGTAGGGTTTTTCTTGTCCATAACCCAAAGCAAATAAGTTCAGAATGAGAAAGTAACTTGGTTCATGTAAATCCTACCGCGAAGCTGCGGTGATCCGGTAGCTCGCCATCTTGACGTGACACAGGGGGTGAAAAAAAACCTGACCTAAACAAGGTCATAAATAAAAATACAAATTAGCTATCATATTTAAACATTGTTAAAATGTTATTCAAAATAAATAAACATTCAACAATTACAACATAAATAAATAACTTCATTTCAATAAGTGGTTCTCATGAATTTAAATTAAAGATCGCGATCAGATTAAAGTTACCGGTACAAATCAAAGTAAAGTTACCGGTACAGATCAAAGTAAAGTTACCGGTACAGATCAAAGTAAAGTGCACTTTTTAAATTCCATCTAAGTTTAATTGACGCAGTCAATTAAACTTAATTGACTTCCATATCATTTCAAAAAAAGAATTGTTTTTTTCCTCTTATTCCTCACAAAAAAAAAAAATATGTCTAAGCCCAGAGTTCTGTAGGCTGTTAGCAAAATTTAATAAAAAGTAACTGAAACCGTCCTAAAAGGATGAATCTACAAAAATCAAAAGGCCTATTTAATATTTTAACAACATATAATCCATTCGGCCACAAAATTAACAAAAGAAAATGACCCTTAAATCAATAAATATACTTTTCAATCTTTAAATGCACAAATTTAGTGGGCGTGTCGCCACCGCATTTCTATTTCTAAAGAAAAACAAAATACGTAAATTAAACGACTCACCGTCGAGCGGTCGACAGAAAACACTCAGTTAAATCCTTCGGCCGTCTTAGTAAGCCTTGATCCAGCCGTATTCTTCTATTAGTTTAGAAGACGCCGAGACGAGCAGCTAGCCACAGCGACAGCAGCAACAGCTATTCAGATCTGAGTCACCTGTGACCCGGAACTTAAAGGGTGCTATCAATTTGACCCGCCAAAATAAAATACGGGTTCTTATTTTATGCAGGTTACACCCTCCCCTCCTGATCCCATGTACGTCCTCGTACATGCACCAGGCTGGCAGCAAATGGGAGGCTGACTGGAGTACGGAGCAATGAACTGTTCTTCTTCATCTTCTTGAAGGGCGAAGGAGAAAGCAGAGCTCAAACCGTGAAGCAAAGCCTGAATGCTTTTCAGTAATGGTTTGCCAGGTTTAGTGTACTGTAATCGATCAGGTGGATTTCTTGTGCGGCTAGAACGTCTCAGAGGTTGGTCTTCACTGTCCAGAGATACTGAATCCACTGGTGAGTGAGGTTCTTCAGTATGGCTGGGAATGTCAAATATATCAGTTTCTTGTGTGTCATGTTCCGCATTGTCAGACTCTGGAGTATCAGGATCTGGAGAGAGTCTTCCTTCAGCTCTGGAGACTTCAGCAGGATTGAGTTGTTCAGAGTCAATTTCAGGTTCCTCACTCTCTACTGCTAGTTGTTCCTCTTTAACAGTCATAAGTTCCCCTTCCACAGGTTTGGGTTCATCATCCTCAGCATCACTGTCCTCTTCAGTTACAGGCACTGGAGATTGTGTGATGGGAACAAACTGTTCAGTTCCTGGGACAGACTGCTCGACAGGAGGCAGGTCAATATCAAGCGTAAATCTGACAGGTTCAAAAGATGATGGAATGTGCAAAGGTGGATCGACTAGTTCTTCCTCTGATGGACCCTCTTCATCATCAGGAGATACTGGAGAAAACACAGGAGATTTCCTTTTAGCTCTGGTAGGCATTTCTTCCTCAGGAAAAGGTAAGTATCCACATGGCAATAAAAGGTCTCGATGCAGGGTTCTTAGTGGTTTGTTCTGGCCTTCCGGTCTGACTGTGTACACAGGAAGATTGCCGGCTTTCTTCACAACAATATACACAGACGACTCCCACTTATCTGCGAGTTTGTGCTTCCCCCTTAGTCGCACGTTCCTTACTAGGACTCTGTCTCCAACATTTAGTTCTGATGCAGTAACTTTCTGGTCAAATTGGGTTTTGTTACGCTGCATCACTTTAGCTGAGTTCTTACTGGCCAGTTTGTAACTTTCCTCCAGGTGGGACTTTAACTTTTGCACATACTGTGTGTGGGAACAAAATCCATCCTCATTTAATGGCAGTCCAAAAGCTAAATCCACCGGTAGGCGGGGTTGGCGTCCGAACATCAGCTCGTATGGTGAGTATCCTGTGACATCGTTTTTTGTGCAGTTGTAAGCATGCACTAGTGGTTTTACAAAATCCGTCCAATGAGTTTTTTCTTTTTCAGATAATGTTCCCAGCATGTCCAGAAGCGTTCTGTTAAAACGTTCCACAGGATTTCCTCTTGGATGATATGGTGTGGTCCTTATTTTGTGAATGTTGGCCATTTTACAGAGTTCTCGGATGGTTCTTGATTCAAAATCTGGGCCCTGATCACTGTGCAGCTTTTCCGGAATGCCATAATGCATAAGGAAATTATCCCACAAACACTTAGCAACGGTCTTAGCTTTTTGGTTTGGAGTAGGCACAGCAATGGCATACTTTGTAAAGTGGTCTGTTATAACAAGGATGTCTTTGATTCTGCGATCCGGTTCTACAGAGAGGAAATCCATACACATCAACTCCAAGGGGTGAGTGGTTTTGATGTTGACCAAAGGTGCAGCTCGTTCTGGTAATGATTTGCGTCTCACACATCTTTCACAGGTTCTGATTTTATTGACAACATCAATAAACATCCTAGGCCAGTAGAAACGGGAACGGACTAAGTCTATAGTTCTGTCAATTCCCATATGACCCATTTGGTTATGCAGTTGGTGCAGCACAACAGCTCGATACCCCTCAGGTAATACTAGTTGGTACTTTGTTTCACTTCCCACTTGTCTCCTCCTAACGAGAAGGTTGTTTTGGAGCTCCATTTTATTTACTTCTCGGAGTAGAAGGGGCAGTTCAGGAAGTTCTTCCTTCACCGATGGTGATGGTGATTCTCCTCGTTCCAGCTGAGCTATGACATGGCGGATAACAGGGTCGTCACGCTGCTTAGCTGCAATGTCATCTGCTGAGAATCGAGGAAGTGAAGGGGAGCTGAACTGTTCATCGTCAGTAAAGCTGTCAGGTAGGCTGTTGACATGAGTGGTCATAGACAACAGCAGAGCGTGGTCAAGATGTGCACCTGGGCTATACACCAGGTGACGGGCACAAACTGCTTCGATGGTGTGCTGATCAATGGAAACATAATCTGGTTCGTTGAGGTGATGCTGAACGAACTTCAGGACTCGTTCATGTTCCTTCCGGGAGGTAGGATCATCAGACAGCTCACCATGAGGTCGTCGAGACAATCCATCAGCATCCATGTTCTGCTTTCCGGCTCTGTAGATGATCTTGAATGTGAATGTTGACAAAGCTGAAAGCCATCTGTAACCGGTAGCATCAAGTTTTGCTGAGGATAACAGGTAAGTCAGTGGATTGCTGTCTGTGACAACTGTGAACTGAGCACCATAAAGATAATCATTGAATTTCTCTGTCACTGCCCATTTCAGAGCGAGAAATTCCAATTTGTGAGCTGGATACTTGGATTCACTCCGCGAGAGACCTCTGCTGGCATATGCCACAACTCTGTTCTTTTCGCCCTGCTCCTGATACAACACCGCACCAAGACCGGTAGAACTGGCATCGGTGTGGAGTATGTAGGGTTTTTGTGGATCAGCAAATGCCAATACAGGGGCAGAGACTAATCTTTCGATTATGGTTTCAAAAGCCTTTTCACACACTGGAGTCCATCGTCCTCCAAATGGTGCCTTGGGGTTCAGGTAATTCTCTGGCCTAACCGTTGGCTTCAGTTTCTTCTGAGATGGCGGATAACCAGCAGTCAGGTCATGCAATGGCTTAACTATGGCTGAATATCCTTGGACGAAACGGCGGTAATATCCAGAGAAACCGAGAAAAGACCTCAGCTCTTTTAGGTTTTTGGGCACTGGCCAGGAGGTAAGTGTTTTGATCTTATCTGGATCTGTCTCAACACCATTCTGGGACACAACATGCCCCAGATACTTCACAGATGTTTGGAAAAACACACACTTCTCAACTGACAGCTTCAACCCAAAATCCTTAAGTTTGTTGAGAACTTTCATCAGGCGCTCTTCATGTTCTTCCAAGGTAGGTGCAAAAACGATTAAATCATCGATGAAAACCAAAACTTCTTTTAAATTTAAGTCTCCCATGCATTTTTCCATCAACCTTTGGAATGTACTTGGGGCATTGGTGACCCCTTGCGGCATGCGGTTGAATTCCCAAAACCCCAATGGACATACAAAGGCAGTTTTGGATTTATCCTTTTCCTCCATTTCAATCTGGTAATAGCCCGACTTAAGGTCTAACACAGTGAACCACTTTGATCCAGAAAGGGCAGAAAATGTATCTTCAAGCTTGGGTAGAGCATAGGCGTCCTTTATTGTTTGAAGATTTAGCTTCCTATAGTCTATACAGAGGCGTACACTGCCGTTCTTCTTGCGTACAACCACAATTGGAGAAGCAAATGGTGAATCAGACTCACGTATTACTCCGGAATCAGAAAGCTCTTGCAAATGCTTTCTTACAGCATCAATATCCTGAGGGTGGATTGGTCTTGGCCTTTGTTTGAAAGGAGTGGGATCAGACAACTTGATTTGATGTTTAACTTTGTCTGTCCGGCCGAAGTCCAGCTCGTGCTTTGCAAACACCTCAGGAATACTGTTGAGTTTCTGGATGATTCGCTGCTTCCATTCTGGAGATAAAGGTGAGTCTCCAAACTTGTATTGTGGTTGAGATGGTTGTAGGGACTCTGTAGACTGGGTTGAATTGTGGACTGTTTGCTCTTGTGAGATCACACTCTGGAAAGTGCTGATTTCTGCTATGACTGCTCGTGCTGGAATATGAATCTCATGGTTCGACTCATTGCTCACAACGACTGGCACATGACACGGCCCGTGTTGAGGCAAGTCAATGAGGCAGGTTTTTACCATGAGCCCACCAGGGAGGGCATAGGAACTCGGATGTTCCAGGAGGACTTGTTTTTCTCCTTGCCACAATCTTGAAGCTAAGCACCCTTCTACAACTGTGGTCTGCCCAGCAGTAATGATTTGGGGCTGACTAGACTGCAGGGTGACAGTTGCAGTAAGTTCATTCGAACTCTGGGCATAGCGGTGTTGAAGGATCTTATACACCGCTATATAACCAGAGACTGTAGGTTGAAATGACTCGTCAGGGTGAGTGTCAAAATGTTTGCTGTAAGCAACATCTAAGGTATTTGTGCCAATGAGAACCAGATGTTGAGATGGCTTATTATCAGGCACAACAAGAGCAAGTGTGTCAACTTCAACAGGTAAACCAAACAATTCAGGTGGGAAGGTCATGTTGATCTCTACATATCCCAGGTAAGGCACTGTTTGTCCATTTGCTCCTTCTATTTCCAACAGGTTGTTTATTGGTTTGATTTCATGGTCCCTGAGGTAAGTATTGTAGAAGGAGTAGGGGATAGTAGTAACCTGTGAGCCAGAATCAAGGAGGCAGTTAAACTGTTCTCCTTGTATCTGAACTTGACATGTGCTCTTTGTGCCAATAAGACCTTGTGGCAGTGTTCTTATCCTGCGTTCTTTGGGACTGTTCATATACACAGCTTCTGTGTGTCCCACTACAGGAGCTGTTTCTAGTTTAAAGATTTTGAATTTTTGGCATCCCATGCTTGTTGCTTCTGGCGTAACAGTTTCTTTTTCTGCTCAACCAGACTTGGGTTTGCTTTATTTGTGCAGGAGGAGGAAAGATGGCTGTCTTCTCCACAATTAAAACAGTACCAAGGCTTGGGCTTGGTTCGTACCTGAGGTGAAAAGTAGGACTTGTTCTGTTTCGACATGGATTTAAATTCAGCTGGACTCTTCCTGGACAGAAGTTGAGACATTTGCTGCTGTAGTTTCTGAAGTTGTTTTTTCATTTCGTTTAGCTCTTCATTGGACGTAGAATGTCCACAAGAACAGGCACTTTGGGACTGAACGTGAACTTTCTGTTTAGACGTTCCAATGTGCTTTTTCATAAGTGACTCTTTAGCATGTTGCCTATCTTCTTCTGTCCTGAGTAACAACAACAAGTCAGAAAAAGATGGTGGGTTGTCTCTCTTTTGTTCCAGCTGTAACTTTGTGATGACAGTATTATCCCAACACCCACGACAAAACTGTTTGAGTAAATGTTTATTGATGTCAGCAGGTGAAATTCCTCCTTGCTTCACAACAGTGTTGAGGGTGAGCAGAAGCCTTTGAAGGTAAGTGGATGGTCGTTCCCCTGGATTCTGCAGAATGTTTAAGTACTGTGCAAACAATTCTTCACCGTCCTGCACTGTTCCAAAAGCAGAATCTAGTACTCTTAGCAAAACTGTTGGTACTGTATTGGGGCTCAAACCTTTGACTAAATCAGCTGCAGGTGATGACAAACTCTCTGTGATTCGTCTAGTGACATGTAGTGCAGAGAGACTGGAATCAGCAAGCAGAGACTCAATCTGGGAACGCCAGGACTCAAAGTCAGCTTCATGACTCGGCTTAGGAAACCTTCCTGAAAAAGTACGGAGACGAAGTGAGGTTGGACCAGTCAAATCAGTATTTCGAACCACATGTTCAACAACAACCCGTTGTATCTGAGGTGGGTTAAGATCATTGGTAGAAAGCGACAGTCCTGGAGCTGGTCCAGTTTGCTTTCGACGAGGTCGTGCTCCCTGGCCCGAGGATGAATGAGCAGGAGGAAGTGAGGATAATGATCCTAAGTCCGTTTGCACTGGCTGTGCAGTAGTAAATTTATCCACTTCCCTTTCCTCTTTCACCTTTACTCCGTCCTCTTCCTCATCATCGTCATAGTCATCATCATCATCATCATCATCATCATCATCATCATCAAAATTTTCATCTGCTCCTGCTGCATGCAGATGTTGGCCTATCTGGCTCATTACTGTCTTCAGAACATCTTCAAAACGATGGCCGCTTTGATCAGCAATTTTCCTGAGCTCAGCGATGTAGTTGGGCTGATGTTTGCTGCTGCTGCCCTCTGTGGCTGCATACTCGAATGCCAAAGCGGTGACACAAAACACTCGGTCAGTATTTGTTTGAGAGGTGTAAGTATAAGGTAGAAGCGGTTGTAGTGCGGAAAAAGCAGCTAAATCTGCAAACTCAATGATCAGGTTTTTAAAAAACGTGCTTGAGGAATCAGTTACATATAAAGTGCGGTTAAGTTTACCGTATCTACTTAAGCAATTAAGTATTTCCTCATCAACCTTGGTATCGGTAGCACCAGTAATCATCACAGACTGTGATACATTTATACCAGATTGCTCAACAATATCCATCATGTTTTTTTTTTAATTAAGTATTCTTTATTTTACCTTTTGAAAAAGTTGAATATTTTACTTAGAATTTCCTATTCCTACAACTGAAATAAATGTTCAAAATGAGAAATAGCCCAAAAAAATAAAATGTTCACACACACAAGCTCCTGGCTAGCTCGCCACGTGTAACGCTTATTTAAGGCTAGGCGCCTGACTGCAGCCAGTTATAATAGGCACTCAGATAGGTTCGCCTATGGAGCCCGTGGGTGTGAACAAAATACCATTAGACCGAAGTATGTTTCAATTATTATATTCAAGTTTGAGTCTTTTTCAAATATATATATATAAAGGTATGCAATATTAATAATATTTATAACAACAGTGACTTCTTTTATGATATAACCAAAAATACGACAAGAAACAAAAACAAACAAACTCATCAACAAAACAATAAATCCTTATGTCACCCAAGAGTTTCCTTTTTAGTCCATTCATGAATCTAGAGTGATTCAACGGTTCATCAATCAATGTCTGATTGTTGTAGGGTTTTTCTTGTCCATAACCCAAAGCAAATAAGTTCAGAATGAGAAAGTAACTTGGTTCATGTAAATCCTACCGCGAAGCTGCGGTGATCCGGTAGCTCGCCATCTTGACGTGACACAGGGGGTGAAAAAAAACCTGACCTAAACAAGGTCATAAATAAAAATACAAATTAGCTATCATATTTAAACATTGTTAAAATGTTATTCAAAATAAATAAACATTCAACAATTACAACATAAATAAATAACTTCATTTCAAT